CTTGCGGTTGGGTTTAAAAAAAAGTTTGTGTTCCCACTCTGATCTGTATTTAATCAGGTGCATTGGCTTTTTCTTCACGCGCGCCGGGGACGAACACAACTTTTGCCTTTTGAGTTGCATCGGGCTCCCCCGAATCGCTCCAGTCCGAGATCATTCAAGTTTCTTGCCATCGTTCGTGGTGGGGAGCAAAAGTGACGGACAAATTCTAAGAACGACCAGAAAATCCTGGCATAAGTTGTCAGGGAATCGCGACTCAAGATTGTTATGGACAGACGGTCGAAATTCGAGGCTGTCTGGGAAACACTGGATACAATAGTCTGCAGTCCCGAGAATGGGAGGTCGCGATCCGGATCCGGACGCGATCTGGATCCGGACCGCGGTCCGAAGGTTGGGCAGCTTTGCTGTAGGACGAGACAGAGAGGAACAGCAGAGGGAAAAAGTACTCAGACCCAGGAGGAGGAAAAGTCTATTAGGAAAAGGATGTACAGAACCCAGTCTCCCTTCCTGCATTTTCATGCGCTTTTATGTGCTGCCTGCTGCCTGGATACCGTGAAAGCCAGATCCCACGTACCCTTACCCTTATTCCCTATCCTTTGCCAAGGATCCTCGGATGGAAGTCTAAGTTTACCGGATTCCACGCACGTATTTCGGTCGTGCAGGACATCAGCAACCGCTTAAAATTAACTTTTGTAACGGTGTGCATGGCTTTCCATCTCCTCAAATTTCATCTCCTCAAAGCTCTCGCTTTTATAAACTCATAGCATTCCATTTCTTCTATGGTGTCTCTGTTACAAAGACCGTACGATTTTTCTGTAGCGTACTTTTACGAAAACGACTGTCATCTAGAAGCCATTATTCATCGGATTCCAAGGGCATAACCTTCTCCGTCGGTCCATTTCGGAAGACTACGCTTCGCAACGAATTCGGAGGAGAGAAAAAGGCATTTTGGGTGCGATTTTGGATGTAGATTAGAACTCGATTCATCTTTTAGATCTCAAATAAAACTTTTTGATACGAACCTTGTCGAGATCAGGAACTCCTTTCGATAAATTGAGACTCCAGCGACAGCTTTCCTATAGCAAAAGACCACTTCCACCCATCATCGGTGGCTTGGACTCTCGAGAGAGCATTTTTCGGCTTAACTGTACGAGCCGTCCCCTGGCACGTTAAAGGAAGGGATGAGTCGCCTCGCTTTCATGCGTTTTTTATATGAAGATACGCGAGATAGATTTTGGGGCTCGCTTCCGAGGGATCAGTGCTCTTTCCAAGCGCGAGTCATAACGTAAAACTCACCCAATTGGAAGTGAAGGCCAATATAGGTCTTGCCCTGGGCTTTCGGTTCAGCCCTTCCACAAGCCATCGAAAAACTCATCCGGCAGGCTTCCTGCTTTACGAGTTTTTGCTCGAATCGGATGAAGGCCCTGCCTTCATTGCCTTCTGGCTCTCTATGAAAGCTGAAGTGCCTCCACTTGGGGCGGAGGCGGGATCTCCTCCCCCCCTTCCACCCCTTTGGTTTCTATCGAGCAATGCATTGGGTAAAAATTGTTCCAGAGAAACTCCTTCTGAAATGAGAACTGAGAGTCACAGCGAAACGGTTTTGCTGCGAGATCGGCTGGATGTTCAACACCCGGGAAATGTCAATATGTTTCAGCTGTCTGTGAAAGGGATAGATGATCGAAGTGTAACGATTCCATGTTGCAGACTCGTATAAACGTACTGACTTTTTTTAATGTTGTTCGGACTCATGCATGCATATATACTGGGTATGCATACAAGAGGCCATCGCCGCGCAGTATTAGACAAGAACACGATGAGGAAACGAAGGACTCCAAACAGGAAAGACAGGCCAAGCTTTAGGTTTAACGGAATCGATAGGCAAGAGATAGTGTCACTGACACAAAAATGCAGTTACAGGATCATGATGGGTGATCAGAGGGAGCCTTTCCTGGAGGACGAAAGAAAGAATAGCGAGACAGAAAGACGAAAGGAGAAAGAAGTTCTCGTTATTCCAGATAAGTGCGCATCGAGCTGGTGTTTTCCTCTCTCCTCTTTTGAGTTGGAGGCTATTATTAAAAGAAAGAAGACTGGATGGGCTTTTTCCTCATGTCCCCATCATGGCTCAAGGTCTTCCTTCTCTATTCACGATTTTTTTTATTTAAGAAAATTGACTTTCGTGGAAATGCAATTTCAGTTGATTTATTCGATAATTAGAGGGTCTATCTTTTGAGTCAGAGTTTTCCTTGTTGCTACTTTCGTAGAATAGTTCTTTGCTTAGACACACACCCAACAGACACCCCCCCCCCCCCCTTCCCCTCTTCCAACGAAGAACCCATCTAGCACAGGCGCCGCAGGCAGCCCATAAGCTGCCCCCAAGGCCTCTTGCGAGCTGCGAAGGGGCCTCTCTTGCCTTTTTGTGATTGGGCTTGGTGTCTGTGCCAAGAAGGCTAACTTCTCCTCTGAGCCCTCTGTAATTGCAAAGCACCCGTCGTCTACCGTTTTCGTCGCATGTCCCATCTTCAAGAGAAGGAGAAGCGAACAGTGATTATATTTATATACCTGTAAATATTTAAAAAAAACTAGAGAAAAGCGATATTTGCATCCTGACACAACATGACTTTAGACTTAGTAGAGACTTGTTAGATGTCTTCTTTTTTTCGAGTGTATTTCGCCCCTCCGCGCTTCCCTCGGCTCCAGAAAACCATTCGGACTACGGGTCTGCCGGGAAATTCCAACAATCATTGAAAGCATCAAGGCTGCGAAATTGCGGTGCAACGAAGCTTAAAAATGTGATTTTTTTCCATGGCCGCACTGCCTGTCTTCGGTAGTCGTAAACAACATCAAATCTTTACGCTTGGGCGAAGATTTGATGATGAATCGGCCGATTGAATCACCGACTTGAATGCATTTTTCATGTTTCGAGATTGAGAATCTCAAGCGGAAAGAGTGTGTTAGATAACGCGACTTGGTTGATTTCCCTCGTGAATCAGTTTCCCCCCTTTTTTTTTCTTCAAAGTTCTAATAAATTTGAGAAATCGACTTCGAAAGGTCCCTTTCTGCAAATTTGTAACCGCGGCATCATTTCTCGGTAACCTGGCGCTTCGGGAAATAGACGTTCCCTCAAAATGGATTTCGGGTCCATTTGTCAGCCGGAGGAGCGGAAGATGACGTCAATCACAAGCTCCATCCCCTTGGTTAACGAAGTTATGTTGGTAACAAGGTACAGCGGGGCTCTGGGGCTTTCGTTGCTTGGACTGCATCTTCTTTTTGTATTTTAGAATAATTGACTCAGACAAAACACATTTGGCTTGATTCGCATAATTCATTTCACGGGCTGTGTTTCAATCCTATTCTAGATTATTACTTTTTAATTTTAAAATATTGCTTGAGCGACTCTCGTATGAAAAAAATTAACAAAAATGGCTGAAATGGTGACTTAGGGTTCAGTGGGACATTTGGTCATGGAGCATACTGGGACATTACACAACTGTTCCACGTTGTTGAATGCATTAACAATTTTGAACTTTCGGGTGATTTCGGAATAAAAGCAGAAATTTCGCAAAATTGCGCCAAATCCCAAGCCATATCCTTTGAATTGAATTATTCTTTCTGTGTCCCTCATTAGAGGAATCACCTAATCGCCTGTACCCAAGGTACTGCGAGATGCATTGACTGCATTGGAAATTTCAATTTTCTGCGGGAAACTGTCACTTTGAGAGCCTTGCCATTTTTAATTGCCAAATCTGTCCTCTAATGGATGGAACCATCAAAACGTTTCCAGTTACAGACTTTTTTTGCGGAAATTTCCCAAAAACCGTCCCACTATACCCCAGTTTCCCTTCCCCACTTCCCGAACCAAACGAGATAAAAGTCTCTTTGAGATGACTTCCCTTTGTATCGGCCTAACATCTCAACTAATTACAGCGTGCCAGCAAACTTTTCTACTAGGACAAAACTACATCCACTAACACGAACGGTGAAACCGTCGAGCTGTTCGGAAAATGAAAGTTTCCCAGCGACGAAAGAGCCTGTAGACTTTCGCGTTTCTCGACGAGAAGTACCGTTATTAGCCCCGCACTTCTCTCGAACGTTCGAGAAGGATTTTCGCATTCGCTCGTATTCAGGCATCACAATCGCTGCAGTTGCCGGCGCCCGAAAGCGACAGATTCTCAGACCATATCATTTTTATAATTCTGTTTTGGAACCGCATAATGTGCGATGTAGACGGTGCAGTCGTTCCGATGGATTCGCATGAGTGGATTTGCACTCGATCGAAGGCTGTGCACTTAAAGAGAACCCAGACCCGAATACCTGATGTGGACACTGATATGATTGAATTTAAGGGCCGAACGGCAAGGGTTCCACTCCTCGATTATTGGATTTCTGAGCGATTTCTTGAATTCAGTGGTCTTTCTCGGTGAGGCTCTTCGTAATTCAATCGTGAGGACCTACCTAAAAAGCCTCTCTTTTTTTGCTGATTTGGAATTTTTAGTTTTTTTTTGGAACCTCGCCGGCCATCTCCAGACCTTCAATTAGCTGATTACCTTAATTTGATTATTATAAAATCGGTTCTTCCGCGCAGGAATCTCGTGAATCGATTGTGCACGTACTGAGGGGTCCTTGAATCGGTACTCAGGGAAGAAAGTACTGCTAGAGTGGACCACCAAAACGTCACGTGTTCCACGGGTTGCACTCTCACGAATAAAGGGAAGGGAAACTGCTTCTGCCATTTCACGTCACGGTGAAACAAAGAGCAATAGACCTTCCACAGAGGAAGATATCGAAAGAACTCTACGAGAAAATGCATGCAGCCCCTCGTATGCATACCGTCTGCTACGAACCTCGAGTCTCTTTTCGAGGAAGAATCAACAGGACGAGAAGAAAACTTTTCTTGGCCCAACTTCGCTCTTTTGTTTTTGAAAAGAGCTCAAGGGAAGGAGCTCTGACGTGCGTAAAGTTGGAATGGAACAACTCCTCGGATAGACCGGCTCACACAAATGGACTCTCCTTGGTATGATTGCAGAGAGGCGACGTAAGGAGGGGAGGGGAGATGGAAAACCACTCCGGTGTCTTCTTCCAGGATCTCGACTTCGACATGAGGTGAGGCTGTGTGGTGTTACTGCCGACTTTTGACCTGGGTATCTCCGATCACGACGGAGATATTTTCGCGAAACGTTCGCTATACACGTGTGAGTATGTTTTCGACTGATTCTTACATTTTCATCTGGATCTGTGGGGCCAAAGCAATACTATCAGAGAGTATACGAAGTTAGATATGGTGTCTGAATTGCATGCATGAAGTCTCCAGTGTTCGAGTGGGCATTGTCTTGCTTCCTATTCATCGTCGAGACAGCTAAACAATTGGCGCCTGACAGATATTGGTGTGCGCTCAAGAAATCGGTCGGAAACAGGAATAGGCGAGTCCAATAAGCTGTAGAGGTCTCTGCTCTTTGGTGCCTTAGCCCCCAATTGAGAACGCCGATCGCAATTTACCACAAGAATGTCAAGAGGAATGTATTGGATTTGAGAGTCGGCTGCAGTCGTCGTTCATTGTTCCCTTTGCTTCTTTCTGTGATTCTTTTCTCTCTCGAGGGAGCGGGTAATGAGATGGGGTCGTCTATTGGAATCCCAAATAGAATGTCTCACCCTGGGGTAATTTGTGATTTCATTTGCTGCCGATGAGGCTGGGTAGAAACAACAAGAATAATAGACGTATTAGAACATTCAGTGTGTTTCCTTGGAGTTTTCGTTACAGCGCTTTTAACTAGAGTCGACTCGATTCACGACGGAACTTTTCCAAGGGAATTTGTCCCGCTCCAGAAGCGCTAAATTCAAAGGATGCAGGAAGGACGAAGAGTCGACTTAGCCAATGGAGAAAGCCCACTAATTAAGGGCTGGGCAACCGATCTCGATGGCAGCCAGTCTCTGAATCGCACATTCCATAGAAGCATCGCAAGCTCAGTCTACTCAGCGCGTTTCCATGGCCTCGTTAAAATGCTTCCCCCCCCCCCCCTTTATGTTGCTTGACAGGTGGCGTGGTTAGTTGAGTAGCTTTAAGGATAAGTCGACTTAAGAAACTCCCATGGGAATGTGATAATTCATTCGGGTAAAATCTCCTTTCCCCAAGGCCTTAATCCCCAGATGGGCAAAGGCTTCTCTCTAATTGAGAGAGGTTCACTATCTGCTGTGATCGAACTCCCGTGTCAGCAACGAATACCCGAGTAGTGGGCTTCTTCTTAGTAGACTCTTATTGAATACCCTCCTCGGCCTAAGAGCCACGATACGCCACTGGAGCCATCATACATGATGCAGGCGAAATTGCGGGGAACATTATGAGTAAAGGGGAGGAGAAGAAAGTGTCAGGAGACATACCCCATGGGAATAGTATGTTATCCGTGTTGGCCACGCACTATGTGCTCTGCCATGGGCTGGGTCTCTTTCCCTCAATTATTCATCAGGATTATACATCAACATTTCCTTGAGGTCAATTTCGATCTATGACATTTAAGAAAAGGTTACATTTATAAAAATTTGCTCACGCGATAAATTCCTTAAGTTTAAAGCAGTAATATTCTTACAAGTGTTGATGACGGTTGACTTTTAAAAAAGGAGCCTTGCTAAAAATAGAAGATAGGAGAAAATGAAAAAAAATTCGCAGCGGCAATGCTGAAATGCTAGCACAATTTTTTAAGCATAATATTTTGACGCAACGAAAACCTCGGTGGAAGACCAGCTTTAGAGAGCAAAATTGTCTCATTTGGTTTATGAATATTCCGACGGCGTAGATCGGAAAGGAGGAACTGGAGCGTGGAGGAAAACGAGACCACGTCATGGGAGAACGTGACAGACCTCAACGAAGACATCATATTACAAGGGATCGAAGCTGCCATTCTCGGCGGCCTCATACTCACCACCGTCGTCGGTAAGGCAAACACTATCTGACAACTTCCTCTTATTCTTCCGCTTTCCGTATCTGACGTTGAAGGGTATACATCCCCGACGCTCCCTTACGTTTCCACGATTCGTAGCTCTTCCGCTCGTGATTCGAGGGAATTCTCTCGCACCTGTGGGCTCGGTATCGGGAATGTCCATTCTGGTGCCATTTGCAATATGCGTTTAGATACATATTCGATCGTATTGTGTTTTATCCTAGAGGTCATTCACATTGCATTCACCGGCGTTTTCGCGGAAAAATCCCTGCGAATCCGGTCGCGATTACCGAAGAAAGAATCCTCGGCTGAATCCGATCAATCTCGTTTCGGGTACCTCATAAATACTAATAGGGTAAGACATGGAGGATGGCTCTTTTCCATATTTCCTCCCGGAGAATGAGAATGAGGACGGGCATTCATCAGTATGGGGCCGTGGGCCTAATCTCTCCGTCTACTCCCCATTTCCTATGAGCTCCTCGTAAATTGGCTGTCAAGGGAGATATCCGAATCATTTTATCCTTGGCCATCAGCCATATCATCGTGTCCATGCAGAACCGCAAAAATGCCTCTTTTTCTCTCAAGGGAACGTGTTCGTGATAGCAGCGGTCGTGATGGAACGGCATCTGCAGACCGCTCAGAATCAACTCATCATCTCCTTGGCCGTGGCCGACTTACTCATTGCCTGCCTTGTCATGCCTCTTGGAGCCGTCTATGAGGTAGGCAGCCAGGGGAACGGCGGAACGACGCGACTCGCGATGGGGCGTGAGACGATGAAATGCGGGAGTGGCATGTAAATGAATAACTATTAAAACGAATCAATTAAAAATATATATGCAAATTAATAAAGCAATCAATTTTCTAAAGAATGATAGAACAATGCTAAATCGTGGGAAATAGTTGAAGGAATAAAAGTAAGATAGTTAAAAAGAAAATCACCTAAAAAAAAAATACTAAATAAGGGTTAACCATGAAAAAAGTAGCATTAACAAAAAACAAACATATAGAAATAATTAATTTCAATCAAATAAAAACTAAGCAAAGTTCGATATACGTCATCCCGTATCGACTAAGCACAGGGTGCGCCAGAGCAGACGAACGTCTTTGGTAACCCACTCACATGCTCGCGAGAGATAATTCGGTCTGCTGGCAAAAAAAAAAAAATCCTGAGCGAGAGGGCATCGAAGAGAGAAAAACGGTCGAGTGGGTGAAGAGACACTCGGGATGCTCCGACGCTTTTTCGGCTGCATGTGCAACGAGATCGAATTCCTTCAAAATCGATGGGGAATTTGCAATAGGCGACTTTCGGCGCATTAGTTATTTTTGCGGAGATGTTTGTTAGAGGTGGGAAATGAGTTTTCCCAGAAAAGGAGACCCCCATCGCTCGGCATCGAATGGGCTCATGGTAAGTGGAGAATGCCATGGGAAGGAAAAAAAAAAGGGAAGTGAGAGATGGGATACGATTTTTCAAGCCGTCCTTGGATGAAAAGCATGAAAGAAGGGATGATAAATTTTTTTCGTAGATGACGTGTACCGAGTTATACCGGAAGGCGCGAAGAAAAAAAAAACCTGATGAATCCTGCTTTTTTGTTGCTTCTTTTTGTTATAGATCCGAAAGGAATGGTCTCTGGGGCCAGAACTCTGCGATGTCTGGACATCTTCGGACGTTCTCTGCTGCACGGCTTCCATTTTGCACCTTGTCGCCATTGCCGCCGACAGGTAAAGGAATGATCTTTATGGGTTTTTTTGTGGGGGGAGGACCGTTACGTCCTTGTGAAAGACGGTAAAGGTTATCGTCATTGTCGCGCTCTTAGGGGGGACCAGCCAGTCTTCTCGGATTAATGGGAAGACTCTCATTATCTCAGTCAATTACCCGTTGCATGGGCTTTGGGGTGAGGAGAACTTCTCCATAATAGAAATTCATTTCCATCGTCATACACCCCGGTGACTGCAAAGAAAGAGAGAGAGAAAAAGAATTGATTGTATGCCGTCGATAAAACAAATCAGAGCCTTCTTCAGGAAAGACGAAAAAATATATTCCGCGAGACAACTGCTCTTTCCCAGTCTTGCATAACGCCGTGAATTTGCTCAGAGTCCCCACTCCTGCCCAAAACATCGATACGGGCTCAAACGGAAGCCGAGAGGGAATTGATGAACCCGAGAACGCAATCTCATCCGTTTAGTACGTCGACCACTCGCTTCCAGCGATGGAAAACATAGAGAAGTGGAAAATGGGAAGGCGTGGGTAGGAAGCCTTTCATCGAGCCGAAAGAAAACGCTTTGGAACAATCGAGCAGCACTGCATCAAATGCTTCTATTGTTCGCTCGCTGACGAACTCTCCGGAATCGGGAAGAGGGTCCCTCGATCGGCAGGGTGCCAACGAGGGCCTCGGAGGAACGGTCGACGTCCCGCTGGGCCGGAAACGGGAGCGGGAACGGGAACGGGAGCGTCTATGACGCGATTGACACGATTTTTTGGTGCCGGTGAGGAAGCAATCTTGACTGCTAAGGAATGAAAGTAGGGCATCGTCGCCGTATGAGGGCTTCCTTGGTTTGGCTCTCTGTGGGATCTTCCAGTGTGATACCGTGATTTCGTTGCGGAGAGAGGGAAACGAGAATTTTTGAAAGAAACAGGACATCGTTACGCGTGAAAGCACCCTTATATTTTTTCCTTACTGCAGACCACTTCCTTGTAGTTTGCTGAATCCAAATAAAACGACCATTTTGTTGAAAATACATTGTCGAAAAGAAAATGCGAAATTTTCCTTGTATGCATATGATCGTGTTCACCGACGAAAATGCTTCCCTCTCCGACGCCGTCGAACGAAGCCGAAGGGAAAACGGACGACGGAAGTACTTTTAACCTCGAAAGTCTTTCTCACGAGATTAGATTTCCAACAAATTCGGTTATCCACGAGTAAATACGTTCCTTCCGTTTCCCCAACCAGAGACGCACATCTGCGGTCCTCGAGTCGCCCGGTGGTGGGTTCGAAAATCATTATTTTCGGCACGAAATACGAGGGCCGGGGGCAAAATGCATTGGAAACCGTTGCGTAGTACGCCTCGAATCGTAGGGAAGCCAGTCACCAAGGAGTTGAAAGATGATTGAATGCCACGTGACTGCTGCTAAATTTAGCATTTTAACGATTAGTGGACTCACTTGATTGCAGGTATTACGTTCGGTGACGTAGGCGAACCGGATATTAATTGAAACAACGAGCCGTTATCGAATTCCTAGTGACGGAACGCATGAAATCTCCATACCATCCTTCGTTTCCCCAGATAATACCTTCAGGCGATATCTATGGGAAAATGCATGGAACAGGGTCGAGCATCGCTGGGTCGAGGCCGTCAGAGCTGGGG